CGGGGGTTGGGATGCCGGGGGGAGGGGAAGACGGGAGGCGGAAGGTGGGTATGCAGTTGGCGAGAATATTTATGGTGTGGGAACGTAGGTGGCGGTTACTCTGCACCTGAGACCATCGCGTCTGGGCGCCCGAGGGGGTTGAAATGCATGTTGTGGCTCAGGAAAAAAGCACAGCAGGAATATCGGTGGGTGGTGGGGGCGCCCCGCAGGTGCTGGCGGTGACACTACCACAGTGTGCTCGATGTGCATCATCCACGCGCTTCGCAGGTGGCGCCAGGGGATGAAATTGAGAAGTATGCTCTATATTCTGCAACGAGGAGGGATAATTCATGAGCGGGTGGACGCGGTGGACGGTCAAGTATGTTCAAATACTCCGTAATTTGAACAATATATTTTTGTGTCCTGATAATTTCAAATTTAATACCGACACTTTCTACTGCTATTGATATTACTTTTACTGAATATATTCTAGTATATATATATGATACATGATGTAATTGCGTAATAAGTGAGACACAAACAGAAATAAAAATATGTGAATCCCTAACAAAAATGAATACCGCAATGAACGCACTTAGATGAAAATGTTTGTACAACATTTTACATTGTCCCTTAATTGTTTTATCTGAATCGAAGTTTCATTTATTTAGAGAACAAATAATTCACTTCTACTTAAATAATACAATAATTTTGCGTGGGATGTTCACTTTGGCCATTTATTAGTTTGAAATACATTGGAGTAAGCATTACACCCTTAACATTTAACAAGTCAGAGGAATTATGCACGTCGTTACTGGGCTACAATGTAATAACTAGACATCGGTTGCTAAGGCACCAAAAATTTACGTTTTAGTCGCCAAAAAGAACACTACATTTTTTTAAATAGACTCCGAAAAAGTCATTAAAATTCAAATTTGAAGGGAAAAACAGGAATATATTTCACTACATTTGCATCTAAAATCAGACAATACCATAATACAATATAACATCAGAGAATAGACTATTAATGAATTATTAGTGAGTGAGGGACTTTGGTATCTTTACGGGATTGAGATCGGTCACTACACTTACTGCAATAATGAAGTACTTCGCGCGGAGCACAACTCAGGCAACTGTGGGAAGAATAACGACGCACCTCACGCCCGGCAGAGATGGGCTTACACTGCGCACTTTCCAGATGAACATCTAGCACGGAAAGATATCAATGGGTTCGTAGGCTTCCGCGGCCGGAGTCAATGCAGTCTTAGCTATCCGGGATGAGCCGTGTCTCGGTCAGTTGTACTGACGTTTCGGCTGTCGAAGTTGGGATCATCGCTTTGCCCACTGCGAAAAGAGTGCTTTGATTACGTCGCGAATCAGCTTCGGTTAGATCCCACCGCTCAATCAAGTGCCCAGAGACCCCCATTTTTTATTCTTTTTATTTGTGCAAGGAAATGCGTAAAAAGAAATATGAAGCCAAAAAGCCTTTCAATTCCGAACATTCAGTGACCTGCACCCCCAAATGACAGTTTCAGTAGAGACAAATAATGGAGATTCATTACCAGAAAATGTATGTGATCAGTACAACTTGAAATGATTTAAATTTGTGTTTGCAACCAAAAAAAATTAATGTATATAAATTTTACGAAAAAAAGCATTTAAAAATAAAAATCCGTTTAAAAAAAGCAATAATGGCACAGGAGGCCAAAAAAGGCAAAATAAAATTTTGTCAGAATATTTTGTTTCCCATAATTCATATAATATATTAATTGCTGTATATATTTTCATTGCAATAAAATAGACATTTTCTAAACAGCCGATGTCTAGTAATCACACACAACAAATCGTTCAAAAAGTACTAGCGTCTTTTCCTACTACTTGTTGAAGGAAAAATATGTATCTATTTCTTCGCAGGGTAGAGAGATAATACTCCTCCTTTGTACGATTTAAATATACTTACAGATCAGCTGTGACGCGATGGAACTTCAATACCAAAACATAAAATCATAACGACGCTCCCGATTGAATAACCGCCTCGTGCTGATAATCTGTCAAAAGTCTCTACATTTAAATCGGAAAATAGGAAACGTTTCCTGACCTTGCGCCCGAGAACACATGACTCATGGCGGAACCCTGGCGCTCGCTGTTATGCTGAGCAGAATTCCCTTTCTGTAGTTCGTTCACCTCGGAGAAAGTGGAAAGGTTTGATACAGAAAGGCTTTTGAAGAGTTGACGCTGGAAGTATCCTTTTCCACGCTACCCCGGTTACGTCGCGGCATCAGATGCTGTCGAATGAAGCCACTTACTTCGCTCCTCTCAGGCACACACGCGGCGCCTTCAGGATACGTCCCACGATGTAATATTCCTCGTGGCGTATTTTTAAGCAGGAATACATATGTAAAGAATAAGAAAAATATAGAGAAAGATAAGAGGCAGTAAGCAACGAAGCAGCAACCCATTCGTGTCAGTTTTGTTCGAATTCGAGTTCGCTGCTGAACGATGTGCGATTTATATACAGCGACGGCATAGACGACACACTTATTGATTTATTATTTTTCTTCGTTAGGGTCATCTATGGCTCTCGATGCCAAACTTCAACATTTTCTTTTATGTTGCTCTTTCTTGCTTTTTTAGTTCTCCTTCACCTTCTCAACATATTTCATTTTCCTCTCTTCGGACCGTTTTGCACCAATTTTCCTCTCTTTTCTTCGTTGGTGCCCATCTGTTTCTGCAATTTATTTTAAAAAATCTCTCTGCATTGTTTCTTCTTCTCTTATATTGTTCCTTTCTGAACTTTCTGAACCCAGGTTATGGTAAATTTCTTATTTCATTTTTTTGTTGGTAGATGCATTATTTTTAATATATCAGACCAAAGCGTGAAGTTGAAAACTTGCTTTTGGAACTCTAATAGGAATATACTCACCGATGGCTGCTTTTCCTATGCCATGGCGACTAAACAATACTCGGTGCGTTCTCCTTCATGATGATACTATGTCTACTTCGCTCTGCTGCAAAAGTCAGATTCAACCGTTCAGATTGCTATGTTAATATAGGTGTTGTGGTAAGATATCTTTGGCATTTTTAACATAATTAAAGATGTTGTCATTGCCAACAATATGTTTTAATTCAATAGCAGCTTTCGATGGCTTAGCCATCATCATCTGTTGTCTGCTAGATGGAAACAGTCGTTTTGTGGCTTCCATCTAGCAGTCAACAGATGATGGCTAAGCCATCGAAAGCTGCTATTGAATTAAAAAATATTGTTGGCAATGACATCTTTAATTATTTTGCTATGTTAAGTAAGTAGCCATGAAAGAATATAATTTTGAGTACAGACTTGTGTCATGATATTGCGGGGTGCAGATATATCAAACGCCTGTAGTCACGACCCCGGCGCCTGCTGATTTTCCACTGCCACGTTTCGCCTCCCTTCTCAAGGGCCCCTTTGCGCCTCCTTGGCCGCCAGCAGCACGCCGAACGCGACGTGTCCGAAGTGAAAACCGGCTTCTGATATGCTGTCGCTGTATCTGTTCATCTGTTTTCTTTGCTTGTACGTATTTATAATTCCGGGCCCACGCTGCTCCTTTCCATTTCACGCAATTCATTCTGTTGCGTCTCGCCATTTATCTTCGGTCCGCTTTCGCGTTTTGCATTTAGAATGCTTCTGTCTCGATACCACATGAGACAAACTGAATCGAAGGCGGCCTGGCCGCGCCGCGTCGTGGCGCCCTCGCCCCATGACGCGGCGTCGGCGTCGGCGGCGGCGGTGGAGGCCCCCGCCATTCGTGGCACGGGAAGAGCATGCATTGATCTTTCGTGTAGCGCTCGCGGCGCTGTGTGGAGAAGATGTAGAATGTGAAATATAGGGGTGTCCTCCTTAGCATACTAAATTTATGAAACCCACTTGTCTTGGGAAAAGCCCAGAGATTTGAGGTATGATCGAATGGTGATTTCGGAAATTTGGTGATATTTGTTACTAATACACTGAGAGCATGAGTTTAAAATGTTCTTCACCTTTTTGCTCCACTGTCCTCTTATGTTTCTCTTTGCCTGTACGCCTTCCTCTTCTTGTTCTCTTGAGGCTGCATGTCGTTTCTCAGGCGGTAGGTCCCCGGGTGCTGCCACACTTTTTCTCTTCACGAACTTTCATTTTCTCGTGCATGCAGTGGCTGCAAATTATTCTTGGCGGAACCTGCCTCTTGTACGCTCTACACTGCCTGATGGATTAGTGACTTTTTTCCCTATTTTTTTCAGATCGCCCCCATGCATATTCCTATCATGAGAATTATTTGTCTTGTTAGAGTTTTGTTATCTTTGTCCTACAAAAGTGATATCGGGGTTATTTTTCTTTTGACAGTGGCATAGTCTCTCATTCCATATAACACGGTAAGATATTAATCTATTCGTAAAATGAGAATCAAAATTCACAATTTTAACTATTGCAACAATTAGAAACAATTTATATATATATAATTAATTTATATATATGATTTATTACTTAATTTACAACTTGCATAATAGTAACACGTCCATACCTTTCGTTGATATCGCTGCTTCTTTATCTCTCTCATATCAGAGATAATATCTCTAACATGTATCTTATCCTCAATCTCCTTGCCATGATTCACACATTTGCAGGTCCTGATTAATATTTCAAGTCCTAATCCTGGTCAAATTGGAAATAAATGTAATAGAACGTACCAATAGCAACCAGTATCTAACTTAATATTTTGAAACTGTAAGATTGTGTTATGCAAGAAATTAAAAATTATATTTCGATACAACTTTGCGAAGGTACGTTGTCTACAAAATCAATTTGAAGCTGATTCTTACGAAATTTGGCAAAGTGATAAAATAAATTGCGGTCCACGTAAGCTGATATTCTTGAATACAACCAGTATACTACACTCCACCCGAAATAGATCTAAAAATATTACCTGCAATTTTCTTCGATTTATAGGAGAAAATTTTAAGTAGATGTTCAAAATTATTTAATAACCCCTGCAAATCAATGGAAACGTCACTTTTCACAGAAAAGAGTACACGTTGCAGTAATAAAATGAATACAGTGATTTATTGCCGAAAATTAACCAAACTGTCGATAGGTTTTGACGCAATCACCAAATCGTAAATTTTTGTAAAAATTTTAACCTTTGAAAATTAATATTTGCTAATTAGTCTTTGTAGCAAAGCAGTCGTAATATTACTTCTACTTAACGTGGAAAAAGTAATTAACACATTTAAACAAACCAAATACGTTCAAACCTCTAGAAGAGATAGATAAAATCCAATTATGTAAGGAGCACAATCAGATGCGTGCAGATGTTCAATTGCAATAGAGGAAGACACGTATTCTTTTAACTGGCATTAGCCGTAAATGTAAATATTTTGTAATGAAAGTACTGTACCATTACTTGGATACCATGACTTACAATTAATATTATTTACAGAATATATTCTTAATATAATTGATAGTGAATTCTATAAACATGCTATTTAATAGAAAAAAATGTTAAAAATACAAATTTGTGATAATATGTTGAAAAAATAGATCAAAAGATAAATTTTCAAATGTAATATCAAATATCTTTTATCACCATCAGAATGTTGAAGTGGTAACCAAATCTATGCCTTTAAGTGTGTAAAATATAACAATTTTGATATTCAACCGTTTTCTAGAAAATGTACATCAAAAATAGCAAATATAACCTTGACTGTTAACACTGTATTGTCTCCCCTATTTAAATTGTATCCTATGAACTACAATGAAATCATAGTGCAAATTGCTGGTGCGTAATGCAAAATACTGTTTAGTTTCAATTCATAATTCCAGCTGTAACTATAAAAAAATTTTGTGACTGATAATATTGTTTAAAATCTTCATTAAAATAATGTTGTCCTTAATGGAGAGAAGACGTTATGTTACTAATTTCTAGCAATGATATGCACAGTTTATATAAGTCATACATACTTATGATGCATTGTTTCAATTATAATTACAATCGCCTGTTAGGCATTTATCTTACGTTAAACGGGAATCGTGTATGTTTTCTTCCAGTAGTCATTTGCAAGTCGTCTTTTCGTGCATTAAATTGCTTTTATTACCACCGCAGAAGTCTGCCTGATGAATAATGAGTCCTTTAATTTCAGCTAACAATTCAGACCCGTCGTACCGGCCGATTACTCGCGGTGGAATAACCATCTCCTCTTAGCTATTGAGGCCTCGTTATTGAAAGCTCTGTGTGGCGGTTTCCACTGCAGAAACTGGGTTATTCGATATCTCTGCGGTTCCTACTTAACCGACTTGTTGCTCATTGATAATAGATGCCCCTGTATCTAAATTAATGCGTGTTCGCTACAACTACATTGAAAATGATTCTCTCAACTTGGTTAAAACGAAACTTGTGTGTGGATGCGGGCTACTTTGAAAGTTTCTAACTAAGTTGGACGAGATAATCGTGCAAGTAAATAGCCCAGATTGCAGCTGACACGACTATAAACAATGTATTGCGTTCGGTACAGTGGCTTTCGCGGTGTCGCAGATAATGCTGCGTCCGAGGCAGGCCGTGCGAAGCGGTATTCTCAGAGGGCCGGTCGCTTGGCACGGCGCCTCCCTGGCCGCATCCCCACCCACGCGCCCGCCCCTGCCGCCACCGCGGCGCCCGATAAACCTGCTTGCCAGGGCTCCGCCGGCCTCGCGACTTTCCCCGACCCCCGCTGCTTTCACCCCTGCGTTCGCCGTCTCTGCTCCCTGTTTCCTCCCACGTCACCTGTTCCGTCACAGTTACTAGCTATTTTGTTGGTGCCAACAGCAACAATTCTGTCATTGCTGCCTTTTATGTTCAGTAGTCCACGTGATCATGTACTCGACTCTCACTGTTCGACCACTTTTCCAACCTGTTCCGTGGGAGCAATCTCAAACACTACTGTGTTGGCTATGCTCCTCGTTTGGCGACACCACATTGAATGCTACGGCTCCATATCATCTTCCTTCAATCCTCGCCAATGAACTCCAATTTATACTACTTGGCTATTATACGATTTGTTCTTGCTGTGTCCGTCAACGCAAGCGACATCATACAATTTGTCAGACTGCATTTCAGTTTGCTTTGTGTCTGCCGTCTCTCACTTTCTTTCTCTTTACCTTTCTCTCTGTCTCCGTCCTTGTGTTTCACTCTCTCTATGTGCCTCGGAATATTGTTTCTCCGCCATTGCTCATATTTTTGGTTTTATTTTCACTCCGTCACTATCGGCGTTTCCTTGTTTATTACACTCTTCCTGCTCCTATTCCCGTTCTCCATTATTATTTCACATGTACGTTATTACTTCCGTTTAATTTCCCGTACTCATTTATTACATTAGCGTTTCCTTTCCCCCATCCTAACCTCTTTTTCATTACGTCTCCATCGTTGTATTCTCCTCACCATCCTCTTCTCGTCTAGTGCATTTTTGTCGACAGCGTTACTGCCATCCATGTGGCTCATGACGGGCGCTCATCGTCACTACTGTCTCCACGCCTTCCCTGTAGTAGCAGCCATAGCGCTACTCTGCTACCTTCTGCCACCAACTCCAG